AAGAAGAATGAAGTCCTTGACAACTTCAATCTTTTCTCTGTTGATAAGAATGTTGTTTATTGGTCCAGTGGTGAGGATTTTTGTTTTCTTTATATTCAGATGTAATCCATACCAAAGGCTGTGCTCTGTGATCTTCATCAGTAAATGTTTTAAGTCCTCTTCACTTTCAGCAAGCAAGGTTTTATCATTTGCATATTGCAGGTTGTTAATGAGTCTTCCTCCAATCCTCATGCCACGTTTTTCTTCATATAACCCAGCTTCTCAGATTGTTTGCTCAGCTACAGGTTGAATAAGTATGGTGAAAAAATACAACCTTTTTAAATTTTATACTATTCAGTGTTCCCATGTTCTGTTCTAACAACTGCCTCTTGGTGCAGGTACAGATTCTTCATGAGCACAATTAAGTGTTTTGGAATATGCATAATTGAAAGCCTTTGCATAGTCAATAAAGCACAAGTAAATATCTTCCTGATATTCTCTGCTTTCAGCCAAGATCCATTGGACATCAGCAATGATATCCCTCATTCCATGGCCTCTTCTTAATATGCCTTGAACCTCTGGAAGTTCTGTTAGTGTACACTTGGAGCTGTTTCTTTATTACCTTTAGTAAAACTTTACTAGGATGGGATATCAAAGAGATTGTCCGATGATTTCCACATTCTGTTGGGTCACCTCTCTTTGGAATGGACACAGAAACGGATCTCTTCCAATCAGTCAGCCAGATAGTTGTCTTCCAAATTTCTTGGGGAGGGTAATAGGCATTCAGAATAGACAATCACAACATGACAACATGTTTGAGACAAGATCAAGGTATAGTTCCCCTGTATTTTATAGAAATATCCAAACTGAAAGCAAATATCATACATGCTAAGAAAAAAAGAAAACTTTCCACATGAGTTTTACAGCTAAGTCATAATATCTTATTGCATCAAGTATAAATTATTTTCTAAAAGGAGGGCACCCATATCTTGCCGAGAACCTACTGCATAGCAATAGACGATGCCCTCAACTTAGAACCCTGTTTGTTTCCCAGAAGAAAGGGCAATAAAACATATCCATTGTTTGGTGAGAGTGAGTGGGTCTTCAATTATCCCCAAAGAAAAATGTAATCAGAGATCTCTCCAAATAATCAGAACAGAAAGACAAGACAGGAACCCAGCCCTCAGAGAGGCTGTGGGCTGGGAAGGAGACAGTGTGGCCATCAGTCATATGTAATAAGTGATAAGTAGTACTGTGCTCTGGACAAATGTTAGTGATAAAACTACACTTAGAAATGTAATGCAAGAAAAAAAAAATCTAGAAACAATGATGAAAAAAATATATGTGTACACTTAAAAGTATTGTAATGGCTCAGGCAGGAAAAACAAGCTCAGATACCTACAGAGGAACCCAGACTATATAACACTGAACACTAAAAGATAATGGGGCAGCAAATGTAGTATGTTAAGTAGAAAAACCAAAACAAAGCCACTCAAAAGGCTACAAGATGTACAATTCCATTTATTTGGCATTCTACACTAGACAAAATTACAGGGCAAAAATGAATCAGTCAGACTTCTGGTACCCCACTGAGGCAAGACAACGTGGGTAAGGAGGGCTCCAAGGACAATGGGGGAGATCTCATGGAGGAGGCTGTCTGGTAGTGGACTCAAAACCCCCCAATCACCATAAGGCTCAGGGCACTTCAAAACATCCTAAAGGGAGTTCTGGAGATAGAGAACCAACAAGAGCAGACAACAAAGAGAGATTGACAGGTATGGCAACACCACCTGGAACACAGTCAACAGAAAGCAGAGTCCACAACAGAATGAGACTACAACAAACTCAAGGGAACCCATAGATCGGCTGAAGGACATAAACATATCAACATCAAAGAAGGGACAAATGCAGCAACAGAAGCACAGGTGGTGGAGATGACAGGTA